AAAAAGAAGGAAAAATTATTGATGTGATGGAAAATATTATTTTATTAAAGAATATATGGTTGAAAATGAGTAGATCAATGAGAATAAAAATTTTAATGTGGCCCAAACAAGGGTTAAAGTTAACAATTAATTTTAATCATACGTCCCATGATAACCAAAACTTTTATTGACTTCTCAATCATAAGTTTTGTAGGCTTTAATCAAAATCTGCAAAATTTTTTTATCAAAAGCTTTGTTAAACAACTTTTAAATCAAAGAAACACGAACCGATGGAATCACCTTTAGATTTTTATTGTTCTGTCACTTCAATATTGGGAATATGATCCTTAGGTTGGAATATGAAAAAGTGAATCCCAATCTTTGTGCTTATTCAGGTTTGAGGAAAAAGTTTCCACAATTATTAATCCCAGTTTGATTAAAATAAGCAGAACATTAAGTGGTGGTTAAAATGTCTTCAGGTTTAGGTAAGAAAATAGCATAAGCAGATTGCCAAATAATCAAAAGTGAGTTAAACAACCCCCATCAAGATTTACTGTCACTGCTTTGACATTATTACCATGCGAGTTGACAAAAAATGGCATTGATTTTTAATGCAAAAGTAGCCATGAACAGGGACTACCTCTACCACATAAATATATTTATTTATGTATATAACATCACCCCACCCACCCCTCCTATTCTTCTCCCTTGGAAGTCAGTAGCTGATTTTTTGCATTTCTTGTTCTGTACTTGTGTCCTTTCAATTGTTATGTAGTTTTGTCTATCTGATATGGCCCATATGATCTTCCAGGGGAATCTCTTTTCATAAACTGGTTATATATAGAGCAGCCATGTCAATTTTCTATCAAATAATGTTCATTTGCACAGTCTTTTCTTTGATCAATCTTATTGTTTCTGATTGTGAATCTTGCTATATGCATCAATATAAACCTGATAAAAAGTTTGAGCAGAAATCGAATCGATTTTGGGAGTTCAAAGAAGAATCCAACACATGGGTTGAAGTGAAACTACCTTACGATCTAGTTTCTTGCATCGATGATAACTGTACAATAGTGAATTCAATCAAGCAAATGAACCCAGAGAGCGAAGATCAGAAAGGAGAATCTGATGTTTCTGATAACAAGGATCAAGAAGAAAAGGAGGAGAACAAACGAGGACTAAATGGAACTTCTTACGCGATTCTTCCATTGAGAAGGAGAGTTTCTTTGACAAAAATGTCTGATTCATCTGTTTGGGTTACCGGTGAAAGTGGTTCGATTTACGAGAGGTTTTGGAATGGACTACAGTGGGTGATTGCACCCCATGATTTACAAGTATCGGCAGGCTATGCAGTTTCTGTATTCATGGTTAATCATACAATTCTTGCTCTATCTGAGGCAGGGACTTCATATCAGGTAATAATTCTATTACTGTCCAGTCTTGCCCAGTACTGTGTACAAAACATGAAAGAAACGTTTTTTCCTTACAGATGCAGCTGACAGAAGATTCACAGCCAATTTGGATTGAATTCATGCCGGTATTTGATCAGAGCCCAAGTAAAGAGCCAGACCAAAGTTCAGCAGTTTTACTTACTTCTGGAGTTACTTCACAGGACAGAGAGTGAGTCGAGCCAATTAGTTTTCTGTTTTAAACTTTCATAGGAAAATTCGTCTTGTGGAAACAAAGTTATGTTACAGAACTTTAATGTTACCATGTAATGCCTAGGACGATGTTTCTCTGCACAAAGAATGGATCATTGTTGGAACTTAGAGGGGTCGATCCTCCAACGTGAGACTCTTATCAAGAAGGTTAAGTTAATAGCCTCAATAACAAATATGATTCCCATAATCACATTTTTTCATTTATGTAATAAGGTGGATTAATCACGGACGACCTCCTGGTGCAAATGTTGCAGCAATAGCTGATGCTGCTACAATTAGGGCGGGAGTATTGTTCACTGTAAGGTGAGATCTTGGTCTTTCTTATCTAAGCGCGAAAAACACGGCGTCTAAGAATTGAGTGGTAGTATTTTGAGATATTGTAGACAATAAAAAGCAGAAAAAAAAAAAGGCTACTTTTTTCTCAATTTCGAGCTCACAGTGCTGCAGGGGATCTTTATGAATATGATCAAACATCAAAACCTCCATGGAAGAAGCACATTCAAAGAGAACAATCGAGAAAAGACACTTTATTGGCTCCATTTAGGGGATGCAGTTTACATGGACTAAATGGTGCTCATACAGTATCTCTCTTTCTCTTAACAAAGGTATAGTATGTTACAATAGGAATGGGTACTCTTAGACAATAGCTAGCGAATTATTTGAATTGACGTGTTCTGTTTCCTGTTTATCAAATGAAATATGGTATACATCAAGGGAGGAGGGTTGGTCGAAAGAAGATTACACCAGAGGAAATGGAAGTGGGTGGTTCATGGAAATCCTAAAGGCCATCTACTGTCATCCATCACTTGCGTATCTCAAGATGAATATAATGAGAATACGAACTCGTTGTTTCTTACAACAGCAGCTGGATTCATTTTCGAATATCAAATTCCTAAGTATTCAGGTATGTTTTTTTTTTCCCCTTTCTCTAGAACAATATTATTCAGCTGGAGTTTCTAAGGATGTTCCTATCAAAACATCGTCTTTAATACTAAGACAGGCAATTTTCAAGATCAAGAAGTTGAAGAGAATTGGGTGAATCATATGCATCCTCCAAATGCAAAAGCTGCAAGAGGTATTGCAGGCCTACATTTACAAGTTGGGAGGATGATTTTTCCACTGGACGACGGTAGGCTTGCAGAACTACATTTATCAGGCCTTGGTGGCGAAAATTTAGGCCCAAACTCTCAGGTTTATGCCCGGAGAAAATCATCATACAAGTATGTTTGGTCAGTACTAGATGCCCCAGAAACTGAAGGGTGGAATGCAGAATATTGTGTGGAAGAGCGTGGGCCGTCAAATTGCATCATAGGCACAAAAGATGAGATCAGTGGTGTAGCTAATACCAGGTCGAGTTCAAGAAGGCGAAAGGACGGAAAAACTCAGCAGAATTACTTATCAGTACATGCGTCAGATAATAGTATGTCAGCAATTTCAATGGAAGAGTACAGTATCCCGGATAATTGGATCACGAACTTCCGCCTCCGACTAATGCAGGAAGGCAAATCATTTTTTCTTATTACAGATAGCGGTTTGACATTCGAATATTTGAATACAGAAAATGTGTGGTTCTGGCTGAAGCACGAGCATCCAACTGCAATGAAAGGAGCACTCGGAAACTACAATGGAAGCTTTTTTTTGGTCGATGAGAATGGGAGTTTGCTTATCAGAGAAAGAAACAGCACTGATCTGACATGGATAAATTGCACTGCTATGAGAAAAGGAAGGCAAGTGGTTGGTGGTCCACCGTGGGACAATGTACCAGGACGAGCACCGAAAGCTAAAGCAGAAGATGCAATTTTCTTTGTTAGCAAAACTGGGAGATTATTACAATTCACGGTAAGTTGAGACTTACAAAGTTAGTAAAAATAATCAACATCCATAGAGAAGGCTAATCAATACTTAAATTTCTGTGTAGGTTGCACTGAGAAAGTTCAAATGGAAAGACTGCAAAAATCCTCCAAATACTAAAATTGCATGTATAGTGGATCAAGAAGGGTTCAGAGAAAACATAGTATTCGTTATTGGGATAAACAATCGTCTATACCAATACAACAAAATTACGGAACTATGGCACGAGCATTATCAATCCCAACATTTACTTCTATCAAGATCCCTTGGAACTGCTACGAGATCATCATCAGTATCGTTAAAGGGCTCGATTTTCATGCTTTCAGATGAGGGGGGACTCGTGGAATATCAATGGAATCCATTTGATGGTTGGGACTGGATAGAACATGGAACTCCATATACGAATGTGACCTTGGTTGGATCACCTGGACCTTGTTTTGGAGGAACTGAATTATTCTTAGTAGGTTCAGATGGTAATGTTTATTTAAGGTACTTAGATCAAAGAACGTGGAAATGGAGGGATTGTGGCTTTCCTTACCGAGGAAGTAAAATCGATGACAATGAGAGACAGGTCGAAGAAAAATCAAGAGATGAAGAAATTTGTATCGACAAAGATTTTGATGCTAGTTTTGAGAAAAATGAAGAAAACCTCCAAGCTATAAATAAAAACTGTGATCTAAAGGTTAGTCCTAATCTGCATTGATTATCAGATTCATGATTTTATACTATCTGTAGTATTTCCTGATGAATTTATATACAGGTAGCGTCTACACGACCAATTCCATTCAATGAAGATTCAGCCATATTTGAGTTAAGAGATGGCCGCGTAAGTATTTGTTCCCTGCTCAAATTTTTTTTTTCGAGACCTAAAATCAGGACATTTATATACTCTAATATCAGAGTCCATGCTTCTACTGTTAAAAATGGAATAACACGCAACATTGTACCAAAATCATACTATTGCCTGAGCATCGAAAAGGGGTTATCCTCAGCCTTTTTGCATACAAAATCAATACGAGGAGCTAGTGTAACTCGATTCTTGAAGTTGCTTAACTACATACATTTCAAGAAATTGTATGCAGAATAGAAAAATGTTGTGCTGACAGTAATATATTTCCATGACAGTTAGCAGAAATACGACGAATAGGAGACAAGAATTGGGAATGGACGCGTACCATTGGCACTCCAACAAGCTTGTGCATGGCAAACTTCTGGACGTCCTTGGTATCATAAGAACAATCTATGTGACGATTGGTAAGTGGATTGAACAATACTGGATACACATGTCCCTTGCTAAACATATCTCAAAGATTAGTACAAGACGTGCATAATTGAATAACCTAGCCATTTATATAGGTAAAGAGAGTAATTGAGTAGACACAAACAACAAAACTTCGTACAAAGCTGTACAGTTACTATACTACAGATGTCATACCATTTTTACTTCTCCACTTTTCTATTTATAATTTCTAGCTCTCATAAAATGTGTTTTTTTTTTTTTTAATAAAAGAAAATGCTTATTTTGAATCTACATATTATGTCAAGTTTTTCGCATGAAGCCCCTGTTTGGTTTTTGCTTAAAATGGGATTTTAGCATATTTTTATAAAAGTTATGGAATATATATTTGAAAAATTGATAAAAGTTTTGGGTCTCGTTATGTATGATTAAAACTAATTATTGACTTCGACTTAAAATTTTTATCAACGTTTTAGCTAGACCAGTTGTATAAAAATTCTTCTTGGTGGTGGTGGATGGTTCGAGCTAGGCCTTGAGTTTTCAGTTGTTGAGCACATCTGGCCCATTTTCCCAATTCAAGTCCGGTCCAAATTTTTTTGGGCTTAGGCCCTCATAGCACCTCAAGCCCAAGCCCAAAATAAGAGAGTAAGAGAGAGAATGTTTGACTAGGACATCTATCTGATTAGGATAAAATGGAAGTGGACATTAAATTATTTAGTGTACATTAGATTTATGCTAAGTCTACGTGACAGAATTATTTTACCTGGAGAGTCAAACATTAGCAAATCGGCCATCTTAATTAACAAGTTGTAGCGTGCCCCGGGGCACATCCAAGATGGCAAAGAGTGCAAGGCTGGGCTTGCAACCCCAGTGTGGGGAGTTTGAATCACGGACAGAGCAGCCAAGTGTTGTACTACTCAAACCATGTGGTGGAGCAGCTTGATGATGTAAATCCGGCGCAGGAAGGAGTTGAGGCACCGATTTTGGGTGGTCCAGGATATAGTTTGGGTATAAGTTGGGAAACCTGGGTATCAAAAAAAAAAAATTAACAAGTTGTAGATCTTAACCGTTTCAAAATCAAACCAAACCCTTCGAAAATTGTTCGGTTTATGTTTTCAATAGTTCAAAATCGCTTGAAATCAAATCGAAACGTTCATCCATTTAAAAATAAAAATTAATGACTTAAGATAAGTTATTTATTATATCAAGTTATAATTCAGCAAATTTACTTGATGGTCGGCTTCTATTGGTTGTTTAGGAAAATAATATTTTTCTCATCTAAATAATAAAATTACAAGCTTAAATTTTATAATTGAACCTCGTATTAATGTATTGGTTTAAGCTTGTATTGAGACAAATACTTTAATAATCTTATGTTTTATATTCAAAATGTCTCAATTTAAGTGTTATATTGAAATTTCAAACTAACGTATTTATTTTTCACTTGTTTTGAATACGCTTATTTAAAAATATATATTATTTTTATGTCACTAAAATCATGATTTGAAATTAAAAAAAAAATGCACAATTTTTGGTGTTATTTTTAAATCAAATTATTGGGTGGATCAAGCACCCAAGCCAACAAATTGGTTCAATTAAAAAGGACCATGGTAATTATGATTGATAATGGAATCAATTAGGAAATTTTAATTAAAGCCCTAAATTATTGTACTGAGGAATCCATGCACATTGTCTTTCCTTGTGTGAAAAAAAAAAAGAGGACAGTCCCACTAAGATTATCTTTCTTTATGGTAATTATTATTAAGTCTTTGTTGAGGCCTCAATTACTATATATATGTATAGGAAGAATTGAGAAGATATTGAGTGTGTGGGAACCCCAAAATTATAAGAAACTCGAGAGCAACAATATAGAAATTCGTAGAATCTGGGCAGGTCGTCGATTAATGATCAAATGTTAATATCCCAACTTTCCTAGTTCGATCTTCCTGAAATTTGAACTACAAGTTTATCATTCATTTTTCTTTTTAGATTCATCAATTAAGATCAAGATTCAACGGTACATTTAAGAAGAATCGTGGTGAGGTCTTTCTTTGCTATTTTTAAGTAGTATTTCAAGAATATATATAGAATTTACTAGAGATGATACTATGGATTTTCGTCTTTGATAGATGACGATTTATTCTTATTGTGAAGACGTGTTCTTGGTATAGTTATAGATAGCTTCTAGTGGTATCTATGGAAAAAAAAATGATGTATTCGTTATTGTTGATTATAATGGAAGATTATTGTGAGTTGGTTGTGGATATTGACATATTGACAAACTACGTTAAATATTTGTATCGTTTATTTCATGCATCATTTTTTTGGTTGTTGATCTATTTGACTATCTCCAATTATGTTTTTGCACAAAAAAGGGGAAAACGTTTATTCCATACATCTTTGCTAGTTATCATAATTAGATATTTGTCTAATTTCCTCAAGAATATATTATATACAAATCCAATATTTTTATAGAATGAAAGACTAATTTATTCTAGCTATTAAGGTCTACGGTTGTGGTTTTATATACACATCAATGTATGATTATGCTGTTGCTCCAGATGAAGAAACCTCGAGTTAAGTAGGAATCGTTTGAGGCGCTACACAGAGGAATATGATTTCGATACATGAACTAGATATCGATTTTCTTTTAAATTAAATTTGGTGTTCACGAGAATTCCTTGTAGAAAAATATATATTATTACTTAGTTAATTACTAGTATATATGCTATTCCACGCCTCAAGTCAATTGGCAGATCAACTCATTATTGTCATTCCACATTTGATCAAGGTGTTTCATCGTCCCTATCTATTTCCTTCTCAATAATTACGAGCACTCTTTGACTATTTACTATGTTCACCCATCTTTCTCCCGTGATACGTGTTCACCATACATCTTTCTTTTTACCCTTAAATGGAATTTACATCTCACTAGAAATTTCATTTTCAACAACCCGACTTGCAAGTGATGATAGTACTTCGTAGTGCGGCGAAGTTCGAGCACAACTGGGTTCTCACTATCTTCATGCTCTCGTGGAATATTTATCGTTTATTTTAGTTAATAAATAGTGTTGGAAATAATTCTCAAAAGTTACACATTAGCATAATTGCATGCACTATGTTGTATAATATATAAAAACTTTTTTCAAAAGACAATAGTTTAGGTGAAAACATCATAAGAAAGCAAATATATGGTTTTAAATTCCAAATCATATTAAGTAATAGTCAATGAAGGTGGCTCTCCACCAATATTAACATCAACATCAAGCAAAATGACAGCATAAATCAAACATCTTTCTCTTTCAACTAATGTAATATGATATGATAGAATTATTAGTGTTATTTTTTTGCTGTTCCTAAACACTGTATTGACAGTGTTATACAAAATAATTGATTGAGAATATCTCGATTAAATCTATTCCAGTTAGGTCAATAGTTGTATTATCAACCGTCCTGCTGTGACCAATCACAAGATTATTGTATTGCGTTATATTCTTAACCGATTTTCATTTATTCTCTTGAGAACTTTAATGGCTATATTAACATCTCTCTACGTGCTTTGGCATTATTTGTGATGATAGTCGCACAAATAAAATTACACAAAGTTTGTGTTCGGCGTACTGAATTAGACTTTATAAGGAAATTAGTATAAAATATTAAAATTATATGAATAACATTAGGTAGACAACACCAAGATGGATTAGATTGATAATTTTTCGTTAAAAATAATGTTATTTATTATATTTTTCTTATGTGATTTAGTCCATCTCCAACTTCCGCATTATTTTGTACATACAAATACGGTCTACATCTTAATCCATCACAATACCATCTACTTGAAATTATTCGTTAATAATTTTATATTAAATTTTTTGATCTTTTTCCTTGAGAATATTGTTAAATGGTGAAGTTTGGTTAATTTTGAATGACTCTATTATTTTTCAAAAATAAATATAAGAATTTTGATTAAAAGAATATGATTGCTATTATTTTTATTATTAACCCTTGTCTTCTTGACTTCATTGAACTCTAATGTTTGGTTATTAATATAATTTTTTATTTATAAATGGTAACTTAAATTGAAATCACTAAAACAAGAGAAGTTAATGGAACCATGGGGTTGCAATAGCAAGCGGACCTGATCCTTATTTACAATTTGCAAGCAATAATCGCCGTTGTACAGTATAATAGATAAAATTTTAATTTTTAAAATTCGTAAAATTTGGAATATCAAGTCGACTTGACCCATTTTTGCATTTATAATGCATGAAAATAATTAATTATTTATATATATTATTTTAAAAATTTCTAATTCTTATAGAAAATTAAGGGAGAATAGACGTCCATGTCTCCAAGTGATTAAATATGAAAATCTATCAAGAATACAACACAATATATTAGCAGGTGGAAATAGTCAAGATGCGCTTGAGCTCGACCATTGAATTAAACCCTTTTTGATAGAGATTAAAATCAGATTTTTAGTAGATTTTGATAAAAATTGATTGAATGTTTGGTTGAAAAGTTGTGGGTCTCATGAAATATGTGGTTAAAATTAATTGTTAATTTTGACTTGAAATTTTAATTCGAACCAAACACGGGCTAAATAACATCATAAATGAATGAGACAAGCTTTAAGTCACGAGGTTATCAAACAACATAACTTACAACCTAACATAAATGTGTCCGTTACAAAACCAACTCAACCTAACCTTAGAAGTTCGAGGTGACAACGTAAAGTCTCGAAGGAATGCAGAACATTTGGCCACCAAGGTCCACAAAAATGTGCTCAGTGTGGACCCCACACCTCGTAAACAAATAAGGATAAGAGTAATGCTATTTAAAACTAGGTGGACTTCTAATGCAAACTGAATTCATGTTATATAGTATTATTCTAATTATAATGATACTTATTTGGCTCATCTTTTAGTCACACACTCGTGAGCTTTATTTCTTTTAAGTTAGAGCGTATTAGCTAAACATGCTTTAAGTCAACTAT